ACCATGTAGCGCGTGGCTTACATAGTACACCGGTCGCTGGACCCCTTCCGGATCGGTTCGGCACACTGCGCTTACTGCACGATCAGAGACGGCGAGGTACACGTCTAGCTCTTCTCCGAGCTCGGGCTTTGATAGCACGATTGGTGACATGAGATACTCCTTTAGCTTATCAAAAGCCGCTCCGCATTCTTCGTCCCAGACGAACCCGTTGACTTTACGCAATACCTTGAAGAAAGGTAAAGCGCGCTCGGCTAACTTAGAGAGGAAACGGCTGAGAGTTGCCAACCGACCGGTCAATTGCTGGACTTCTCGAACGGTAGAAGGTGGTTGCATGTCCAGAATCGCTTTCACTTTGGCCGGGTTGAGCTCGATTCCTCTCTTGATCATCATGTAGCCGAGGAACTTCCCGGTCTGAACCGCAAATGTGCACTTGGTCGGGTTCAGCCGCAACTGGTACTTCCTCATGATCTGGAAGCACTCCCGGAGATCCCGAGTATGGTCGGATCGATCCCGACTCTTGACCAGCATGTCGTCAATGTAAGCCTCCATCGTTCGGCCTAGCAGATCAGCGAAGAGCATATTGACCATCCTCTGATAGGTCGCTCCCGCGTTACGGAGGCCGAACGACATCACTCGGTAACAATACAGCCCGTCCGGGGTCACGAAGGCTGTTTTGCTCTCATCTTCATGGTGCATCATTATTTGATGATATCCTTTAAACGCATCCATGAAGCTCATCAACTCGGCCCCGGCCGTCTCGTCAACCATCTGATGGATACTCGGTAGAGGATACGGGTCGAGCGGACAGGCCTTGTTGAGGTCGGTGAAGTCAATGCACATCCTCCAAGCTGGGGGCTTAGGAACAAGAACAATATTGGCCACCCACTCGGGATAGATTACTGGCCGGATGTGCTCGATGGCCCGCCATCTTTTTAACTTCTTCTCTAACAAATTCACGGCGATCGGACGAAAGATGCCGGGTCTTCTGCACGACCGGCTTCGCTGCGGGATCGACAGCCAACTTGTGACAGATTACCGATCGGTCGATCCCGGGCATGTCTTCGGGCCCCCATGCAAAGATGTCAGCATACTCCCGGAGTATGGCCAGGATTTCTGCTCGGAGCTCGGGGGTGAGAGCCCGGCCAATTTTAATCTTCCTATCTGGTCGGTCCTCGGACAGGGGAACTTCCTCTATTTCCTCGGAAGGCTCAGGTTGTTCCTTCCGATCTTTTGCCTCCTCCTTGGCAATGGTGTTCACCCAGGAAGACGGACCAGAGTCACGCCTGTTGACCGCTCGGGTGTAACACTTCCGGGCGGATTGGACGTCACCGCGGACCACACCGACTTCATTGGGGGTGGGGAATTTCATGCACAGGTGAGGCATTGAAATTATCCCACCAATTTTCATGATTGCGGGTCGGCCCAAAATAATGTTGTGGACACAATGGAGGTTGACCACAACGAATTCCAGCTCCATCTTGATCGACTTTGGAGATGTGCCGATCTCGACTGGGAGCATTATTTTCCCTTCGGGGTAAATGAGCGCCCCGGTAAATCCCAACAGTGGTACACCGACCGGAGTCAGCTCCTTCCTGTAAAGTCCAAGCTTTTCAAACACGTCCAAATAAAGGACGTTCACACTACTGCCAGTGTCCACCATAATCCTCTGGACATCCGTCCCTTTGACATCAATCGTGACCACGAGCGCCTCCACCGCTGCTGGGTTGATCTTCGAGGGTGAAGGTTATGGGCTCCATCTTCTGCCTCTTCCCAGTGTCCCGGGAATCTACAATGGCGACCGGGCAATTGCCCCTCGACCGGGAAGCATCGTCCAATCCACCAAAAATAACGTAGATGGTCGGCTTTCCTGCTGGTCGGCTGCTAGATGGAGGGTCAGGGTCCCGTCGGTCATCACGACGATCGTCTCTTCGGTCCTGACCTGACCGATCGGAGCGTCCCTCACGATCAGAGCAATCGGAACGGTGATGAGAGCGCCGGTGGTCTCTCCGATCGGTATTCTTCTTTGTGTCTTCTCTCTTCCCCACACACTTGTCCAACTTTTCAAGATTGAGCAAATCCTCCAACAGCTGGCGCAAGTGGGTACACTCTTCAGTGTCATGCCCGGCACATCGATGGTAAGCACAGTGCTTACTCTTGTCAGGGCCGTCTCGATCGGGATGTGGGAGTTTGATGAGATTGCAGGACTGAGCGTACTGCATGGCCTCCGCTGCGGATCGGTTCAGGGCCGTAAACTCACCAGGCCTGGTGCGGGATCGGGGATGATCATCTCCCGATCAGTGTTCCGCCCGGCCGGCCGATTTACGGGACGAAGACCCGACCTCCTGCGAGCGCTTTATGGCGTTCGCCTCGCCGACGTTGGCATAATCTGTGACCCTTCGAAGGGCCTCCTCATACGTGGCCGGGGGGTGTAGAATGAAGTCTTGGTACAAATAACCCGCCCGGAGGGAAATGTGGAGCATGTGGGTGGCGGTGGCGTCATCCATGGGCTCGACCTCCCCGACCGCTACTTTCCATTTGACGAGGAAATTGGTCAAGCTTTCCCCTTCAAGCTGCTTGGCCTTCTCCAAGTACATGTAGGACTTCCTTACCACCTTGGAAGTGATGAATTTCCTCACGAACTTGATCGCCAGGGTGTTAAAATCAGCAATTGAGCCTGGCTGCAAAGTTCGGAACCACTCCACTGCCCGACCGGTGAGCGTGGAGTAGAAAGCCCTACACATCACGGCATCTGATACGCCCTCCAACATCATGTTGCCGTAGAAATCATTGACATGGACCTCAGGGTCCGTACGGCCATCGTAACTTTTCTCCCCGGAGACCTTCAAATCAAGCGGGTAGGGCTGAGCCATTACCTCGGCAGTGAAAGGCGTCCTGAGCAAGGACGATTGGTCAACCGGGGGTATTGCAGGGTGCGCGTTCCTGAATTGCGCAAACTCCGCCTGGAGGTTATAGAGCAATCCTCGGGTCTGGTTGAGCTCGGCCTCCTGGGCAGCTTGGGCCGCGTCCCGAGCGCGTCGTCGACGGTGAGATCTCGACCCGCTATGCCCGGATGAAGCCTCCTGGCTGGCTTCCTGCATCTGTACATCTTCCGGCTGCCGGTTTGGGTCTTGGGGCCCCAAACGTTGTCGCATCGCCGGTCGAAGACGATCAAAAGCTACCGCTCGGGCAGCTTCTTCGGGGTCCTCCGCTGGGACTGGAGCCTCCGGTGCTTGCTGGACCTGCCGTGGTGCCTCCATCGCATCAGCACCCCCCGACCCCAACCGCGAACGAGTCGAGCATCGAGCCCAGGAAGCGGACTAATGCTGCGGCTCTGATTGTGCGGCCGGGTAAACTGGAAGGGCGGCGGCTGGAGCCGTGTACACAGGCGTGTAAGGTGGATAGCCAACCGAGGGCGTGTAATACATCGGTTGGCCTGGCCAATACCCGTACGGTTGAGGTGGGACCGGATATAGATACTGGCCGGGATATATCATCGGCTGCTGCTGGTACTGTTGACCGGGTGTTGGGTATCCCGGTTGGATGTAGTTCACCGGCTGTTGGGCGGCCGGGTATGTATTGGATGGATGGGGTGGCAAGAGATTGAGGTTGAGGTCCATCGTCTGACCTTGTTGCTGAGTGGTCTGGTGATCAGATGAACTCGCTGCATCCGCCTGGTCGTCGGCGAAGAGGTTTTGTGCCCACGGATACATGGTTGATGAAAGACCGGGTGCTCGTCAAAACGATGGCTTTGTTGCACAGGTGCCCACAGACGGCGCAAAAATGATAGGGTTAATTGCCACGTAAGTGGTAATTAAGTAAATACGAGACCAATTAAAGCAAGTAAATAACTCTTAGACCAAGTAGACCAAGTAAGCAACCACGTGTCGTTGTCCCGGGTGCCCTGCCTGTCAACGCGTGGAGCCGCCACGTGTCCCTCGTCAGCTCTCTCGCCAAAGGGTTACCGCTCGGTGGTCGACACTACCGCTCGGGCAACTCCGGGTCGGAACCCGACCGGGTTCTTCACAAGAAACTCGACCTGTTACCTGCAAAGACAAGAAGACAAAGACAAAGGCACACCGACCGAGGTAAAACTATGTCGGTCGGGATATTCCCTACCAATACTTGTTTTCACATTCGAAATATATTTTACCAAGTAATGATGAATTGCGTCCAGACTTTTGTATCCAAAAGTGGCAATTTTAAATACAATTAGAAAGTTAGTGAGTTAATTTAATTCTTAAAAGTTTCTCTCTTATTTATTTGTTGGCATTGTTTCCCTTGTTCTACATCACAATCTCTTGTTATATAGTGCAAATCATAAGATGATGAATCTCCTTTAGAATCATACATATATGTATGTACGCATGCATTCATATATGCATAACCTCTCCACTAAAATATAAATGAATATATGACACAATTTTGTACCCAAAGGAACCAATCGTTATACCCTACACCACGGCGCGCATAGCTGTGTGCGCCGTGCGCCTCTCAAAACGACGTCGTTTTAGAAGGCGCGGTAGGAAGTTACTGTGATTATGTATATTTGTTCACACAATTATGTATATTTGTTCATACAATTATGTATATTTGTTCATACAGTTATGTACATTTTTTATACAATTATGTACATTCTTTTTATACAATTATGTACATCCGAATCAAAAAATTTGTGTGTATTATGTTAAGAGTTGATGTGTATTATGTTAAAAGTTTATGTTTATTATGTATTATGTTAGATTATGTGTATTATTTTTTAAAAAGAGTATGTATATTTTGTTATATAATTATGTACATTCTTGTATACAATTATGTGTATTCTAGTATAACATTATGTACATTTTTTAACATGGATTTTTTTTTAAAGAAAAATTAACTGCCATACACTGGGCAGGAAATTTCAAAAAAAAAAATTTAAAAATTAAAACGACGTCGTTTTGCATCTGGGTGCACAGTGCAACGCGCGCCGTGGTGTAGGATATAAATTGCCCAAAGGAACAGAAGATGAAAGTGGGTTGAAAGAATCTTCAAATGAACATTTTTTGCACTAGTTTTTCTCAGCCAAGTCTGTAGCTATGAGGGGGCCCCTGTTAGCTATATTTGTTATTGTTCTGTAGTATTATATACAAGGGGCATTTTATGGTAACCCTGCATTACCTCCACAAAGTAAATAAATCGTCGAAAACACATATATTAGACTCAACAGCTACGCTCTAGAAAAGCCAATGCTTCTTTCGCTGGATTCTGGGTTGAACCTCTGTTGCATATCATGGAGAAAACTATAATCAGACCGAAACTGGAAAAACCATCATTATAAAGCCCAAGAAACAAGCGTTAAATACAAAAGTTAGATTTAGCTACCTCCAGTTTCATATAATGAATTGTAGTGTACCTCGCTCCAAAAGCTCAGCCATAATTCTACACTTAAAAGGAGCTTATAAATCAGAATGTTGAAGGCAGAAAAACAAGAGCTATGACTGATACATAGTGATAAGATTTTCTCAAACCGGAATGGTTGACATAGAGTTATATCCCGACATTATCATGAGTATGAAAATCAAATGGTAGCAAATATGTTTCGCATATGAGTATATAGCTATAGCTGCATTTTTATATCTGCCACCCTGCTTTCTTCTTGGATCAAGCTCAATGCATTTTCCCCTTACATATATTGAGTATAATATTTTTGTTATCCCCTAAGTAACTTGTTTTTTGAACCTAGTTTGTTGAGCGGAGGCTGGGGGATTGTTGGGCAGAAGCCAGTAAAGGGCTTAAAAGACCAAGTCCAGCACCCAGTGTCTCGAAAATGTGATGGCGGTCTATAAGGAAATAAAGTTGCGCCTTCGCTGCTGGCTATAGCTTTTGGCATAGTGGTAAGTGGTTGATCCTAACAAGTGATATCAGAGCTAGTTTACTGGTTCGAGCAAATAACATTTAAGACTGGTTGGTGCTGGGAGGGGAGAATTGTTGGGCGGAGGCCGGTAAAGGCCATGTCTAGCACCCGGTGGCTGGGGGATTAATGTGATGGCGGGCTATAGCTTTTGATCCCAGCATAGTTGGTACCATGTTTCTAGTATCTTGATTGGCCTACTTCTAGGCTAGGGATAAAGTTGTTACTTCTAAAGGTTTGAAAACCAGAAAATAAAATCATTTTGATAACCAGAAAAATAAAGGAGTCAGTCAGAATTAAACATGTTTTTTAAATAAATAAATAAAAAAAAAAAAAAAAAAAAGTAATAAGATAGATTTTTCCCATTTCAGAGGGATAAAGGAACAAATTGCAAATTTGGTACATACCTTTAGAAGGTTGGGTGTCCTTGGGAAGGATCTCAATGTAACAGGTGTCTCGAAAGGAAGTTACTAAACATATTTTAGCTCCAAACTGCAAATAGTCAATAAGAGTAATCAAAGGATTATACAATACAGACTAGTTACCAGCAAAATATTCTAGATATCTAATTTGTAGAATAACATAATGGAAGAAGGAAACAGAACACTAATATTGAGTGACAATCTAGAAGCCCTTCTCTAATAAGAAGAGGAGACTTATAGAAGTCCAACACGATAGAAGGGGCAGTAAACACCAAGTTAGAAAAATTAGGTAAAACAAGCAAGCTTCAAGGCCGGAAAGTAAGTAGAGTGTGACTAAGCACTTAGTTAAAGCGAGAAAGAAAAACATTACAATGGAAATGAAAACAAAAACAAAAAAAAAAACTTACTCGGTCTGCTGCAGCTTGGAGAGTAACATGATCTCCCCATTCCCCTGTTCTGATAGGTATTAAAGCTATGTTAGTGATGGGTGAGGTATGACCATTTTTGTCACCAAAGTACAATTAATACTTGAAAAATGTATTTTTAACCTCTTCATCTTCTTCAAGTAGCTTTTATACTTCATTGGAACGTAACCTTCATATAGCTTTCTGTAATGTTTTAGCTGAAAAGAATTTAGAAGCTAAGGCCCCAGGTGAAAAAATAGCAACAGAATATACAAGTTTTGGTTATATATGTTATAATGCATAAGCTATAAACGTTGGTATGCTATTAAGCCCATTTAGTAACTTTATGTAAATTAAGCAACTTATAAGCTGTGAAGATGAGGTGCAGGATAGCCCAATTTCAATCTGTTCAGAATTATTGTTTGTGTTTTCAATTGTCTTTTAGATTCCCAGGGACAGTCTTTCATTTATTATCTATTTATCTGTGGTTTTCTACTCCCTGTTTTCTCTCTCTCTCTCTCTCTCTCTCTCTCTATATATATATATATATATATATATATATATATATATATATATATATATATTACACTAGTGTTTGTATTGAGGGTTTACGCTTTGAAATAATAACAATCTCTTCTTCTTTGACACAGTATCAGTGTCATTTTCTGTGGCACTGATTTTCTTCATGAACAGTACCGTTAATATTCATCCAAAACCTAGAACTTCAATCACTATTTATGAGGTATTGGGAGTTGGAGAGCCTAGAACATATACGTCTTGGAAAAGCAAAGATGCAGCTGCAACTTCAAGTGGTGATGTTAGAACTACCAAAACTTCTAAGAAAGGTGCAGCTGGAACTTCAACTTTAAAAGGGAAAGAGGAAGTGGTTGAAGATGATGAATAATAGGAGTTTGAGGAGAATTATGGAGAAGAAGAAGAAGAGCCATTGTTTAATTTTGTGGTTGAGGAATCTAAAGGAGAAGAGGAAGAAAGATATGTTCCACTTGATGACAAAGAAGAAGATGATTATGATTTATGATGGGGTTGAAGAAGAGGGTTAAACATTTAATATCTAATTATCTATTTAGTTTATGGTTCTTTATTTATGTTAAGACTTGCGACATTAAGTTTTCTAGAATTTTATCAATTTCTGCAATTTTTAACTTCTTATATACGGAGTATATAATATATAATATTAATGTCTGCCATTGTCAACACTAGTCATAACTCAAAAAGGATGAAGATTTTGGGCAGAATGTATACCTTTCCATTCCATTAAGACACAAATTTTAATGGCTTCTTAACTGGTCAATCCATTAATGACTCGGGACACATTAAGGCTAAACACTAACCTGTTATTTTCATTTTCCAATTTCGTGTCTTGTTAACGGATCGTGTCAAAAATTGCCAGGTCTCGGATGGTAGGACCTTCCAACATTTCCACCTAGTCTTACTAGCTCATCGGATAAGGAACCACCAATTTGCTCAACAAAGTAATCTACAAGTCCCTCTAAAAGAACACAGTATTTCCTTGCTACTTTTGCCTCTTGACTTCACAGAAATTTCTTCTCTATGACATCTCATTCAACCCAAAGGGTTTTCCCCATCTCAATTGGATTGAAGTTCATGTATTAGAATTTAGAAGTTGAAATGGACACTAGCATAGTTGTTACGATTTTCCTTGGCCTCGTATAATAATTTTGGCAATCAGGTCTAGTCCCTCTCTCTTGTATTTTATAACAAGCCCCTTTGGTCCTCAAAACACATCAAAGAAGAATATTTAACCCAAAAAGAAACCCCTTTGACATTTCGAGATCTTACATCAATTTTTTGATGATCCTGTAGCTTATGGTATATTGTATATATACAGTTATTGACATTTCACAAATGGCGAATTGAACCCCCAATATGCTTTTGCTGAAAGATAGAGCTGAGAAGTAACTCATAAAAGTTAATGTAATCATACCTGTTTGACAACCTGCTTTCTTACATACTTGTGGTAATCTTGATTTCTATAAAGCTGATCTGAAAGGGCTCGGAACTGCCAAATGAGGTAAGTTGTAAATATATTAAACATTGATAAAGACATGGTGAGCAGAGAGAAAATTCATTAAGTTATTACAAACCCGTAAGACAACAAAGGGCACACGTAATTGACTAATGAAATAAGTTAAAGGAGACTAACCTGGCAATTCCCATCTCCCTGAATTTGAATTTCAGTAAGATCATATGTTTCCAACCTGAGAGTTCATTAAAGATGTGTGAAGTGTTTTTAAAGTGTTGCAAGAAACACCGTCTTAGAACTTAGAAGTACTATAGATGATACAAAGAGAAAACAAGTACTAAATTGCCTATGGATGCTAGAACTATTTATTTTCTATAAAGGATGCATTTAAAATAATCCATTATGAAGAAGAGAAGAATACAACACTACAAAAATATTAGGACAGATGATTGCAAATTGGGGAAATATTTTGGCAAGATCACTTCCAACGAAAAGACCAAACTCCAAGACAATGTTGATCCTCTAATCCTCTTTTTCAGAGCCACAACCCCATGAAATTTGAAAGAATGCCCACCACATTAGAAACTCATTTATAAAAACTGGTCACCGCATATTAAAATAAAAGTATAAATTCCACGGTCTGGTCAACAGGAAACCCAATAACTATTTTCCAGCTACTGGCTTATCAGACAAAAATGATGTTCGGACAAGTCTAAACTTGAAAAACAATCAAAGTAATGGGTTACCTGCCAGAAAGCCTTGAGTGGTCTAATGTGGCATCATTTGTATCAGGTATCTCTCCAATTACCCTTGGGGTGTGCTGCCAATATTTAGAACATAAGCCATTAGAAAGAATGACAATCAAAGTGTGCATTCAACAGTTTTATAATTTAATTGCTAATTCCAGTGTTGTAAAAATCGGCCTAGGCACTAAGCACTCCTAGGCCGAGGGGATTTCAGCCCTAGGCGGCTTTCAGTCGGCCGGCCAACTAGGCGCCTCGGCACCTAACTTGGCCAAGTCAACGCCCAACTCAACCGAGTGATTTTTTCTTTAATTCCCTCACCTGTACATCATCACTTGCTCGGCTGCTCATCTTCCCTATCCCTCCAGCCAGGTACTCAACTACAAAGTCTAATATATGTAGTTGACTAGTTTGGGAGATTATAACAGTTGCTCACAACCCACTGCCTTTTCTTTCTCTTTTTTTAAAAATTACTCGGTCGCCTTCTGCAACATTGGCTATTTCTATACATCTAGACGGACAAGTTCTATTATCCTATACCTAAAACTCCTACATAAACCTCAATGATCCATAAGATCTAGATAGAAAAACCTAATTGCTTTCCTTTTCTTTCAAAAAATCACATTACTTCAGCAAATGAAAAAGCTTTTTACCACCCCCATTATCTGTAATTCACTCATACATACCGGAATTGAGTCTAGATGAGAAAGCCTCTTTCCAAGCTTGCCCATGCGCTGCTGCAAAGCATTTTCCTCCTCAGCTAATATCTTAGCAATAGTATGATCATCCTCCGTACCCAATGAATTGCTGTTCAAACTAGCACTGGAAATCGAGCTTGAGGAGCTTGCCCTTGAATTCCCATATTGTTCATTCATCATAAAATCTAAGCAGAAATCAAATCAATCACGAACACAGCAACAATACCTACTTGACATAAACATATCAAACGACCAAATATCAACTAATTCAACAACATAATATATTAATATGCCAAACACTAAATACCAATCAATGATTTACTTGAAATCTTGAAGGAATAGCAAGTACCCTTTGTTCAGATAAGAAGATTGAGATTACTAAAGGAACATTTGGATTTGATTTCAAGAAAAGAGAGGAAGACAAATATACATACCAAGAAGAGGAAAGGATAAGCTTTGAATTGGACTAAACTTTTCTATAGCTTCCACAGCAAAATGAGAAGAAAGCAGTTTGGTAAACAAACAACATCACCCTTTACCAAGACAAAACGTGTGAAGCAGATTTTTTTTTTTTTTTTTGAGACAGGCCCTCTGGTCAAAAGTGGGTGAAGAGTGGTTTGTAAGCGTGTGACCTATAACTTTTTTCTTAGTACAATTCTAGAAAGTAGAAAGTAGAAAGTAGATTAATGCTATGCTAATTTTAAATTTAAAGGATTCCGGTATAAGATCAAATATCTTTTATTTTGATGGTATTGTGGTTGCTTTTCATAAGAAATATTTTAAGTTTGAGTTGACATAATTTGTTGAATATCTACGAATCTACGAATATATATATCGATAGGATATTACGCCTCAACTGTTAACCTATTAGAAGTAATACTACAAAGACTTTCATTTTCTACTCTATTTTTCTACTTTATATTATCTGTCATGCTTTGATTGTCTAATACAAAAGGGTGGGCCATGATTTTTGTTCATTCTTTTTTCTTCATCCAGTCAAAATTAAACATTTAGTAGGAGTAAATGTAACATTTTTCCCTCTGTTATTTATTAATTACGATGAATCAGTGAATTGGCCAATAATGCTTGTCTGTGTCACATAAAAAATCTATTTATTAATTAGAGTTAATTTCTTTTTTAGTCATATATTTATAGATGTCATTCCATTTTAGTTTTTTTTTTTTTTAAACATCTTGTTGATCCAAGCTAAGTTTTTGGATTTCAATTTCTTTTTTCTCAATTGTGTGCTTCAATGTTTGAATCTCAGTGTCATTCTTCTCTAGACATTCTAATAACCCTCCTATGACTATTGCAACACGGTAAGACACATCCATATCAATCTATCTAAAGACTTCACAACTCAACCAGCTTGGTTGGCGTGCGTGGCCATGCATTAAAACCCCTTTTTTAATTTAGAAAATCAATTTTTAATCTTTCAATTTTATTTATGAATCACCACTTAAATTACAATGTTTAGAAAAATATAAAACTTACTCTATAACGTGATGAGCATGTTTGGTATCTTTTACCCGGATTAGCACAAATGAAGAAGAGAAATCCAAAATCTAGAGAGTCACAAATTAATTTTGACAAATCTAACAAGAAATTTTCATACAGTATTTAGCGATTTATGGAATTAAAAATTTAGGATTAATGATTTGATCATTTAAATATGAGAAGTTGTTGCTTCACGAGTGATGACTCGCAGATATAATGTACTATAAATTTCAAATTTGATTTCTAAAAAACATAATATGCTATAAATTTAAAGAGCCTATTTTTATTAAACGATATAATACTATAGGAACAATGGTAATACACATCACTTCAAAATAAAAAGATAAATAATAACATTCAAATACACATCACTTGCACTTGGGAGCTGATTTCATAGGAATTGAATTTGGGAGCTAGTTCGAAGCAATTGAAATAATTGGGAGCTGATTTAAGAGCAATTGAAATTGTGAGCCTATTTCATAGGAATTGAAATTGGGAGCTAGTTTGAAGCAATTGAAATTGGGAGCTAGTTTTGAAATATTGTGAGCAATTGAAATTGTGAGCTGATTTCATAGGAATTGAAATTGGGAATTGAAATTGGGAACTAGTTTCAGAGAAATTGAAATCAATTGAAATTGGGAGCAAGTTTCACAAGGGAATCAATTCAAGATGGGAGCCAATGTAGAATTGAAATTGGGATCCAATTGAAGTTGTAGTATGGGATGCAAATTCAAATTCCCCTATTCAAAGAATTGGGAGCAAGTTTCACAAGGGAATCAATTCAAGATGGGAGCCAATGTAGAATTGAAATTGGGAGCCAATTGAAGTTGTAGTATGGGATGCAAATTCAAATTGGGAACCGATTCAAAGAAGACATGGAGATCAAATTGAATTGAGATGAAATTCAATACCAGGAGAAGTCTGGGAGCCAATTTCGAAGTCAAAGTCAACAATTCAAATTGGGAAGCAATTGAAAGCACCAGGAGAAGTCTGAGAAGTCTAGGAGCCAATTGCAAGTCAAAGTCAATTGGGAGCCAATTACAATAGAGAAATTATTGGGTGCCAATTACAAGCCAATTGAAATTGGGTGTCAATTGCAAAGGAGAAATTCAAATTGGGTGGAAGTTCAAAACCAATTTGAAGTCTGAGAACACCCAGACGTGAGAATGAAGAAGAAGAAGAAGAAGAAGAAGAAGAAGAAGAAGAACTTACAGTAAAAATATTCTCACAAGAAAAAATAGTAGTCTAACTAGTATGGGATTAAATTAATGAATATTTTTTAAATCCCAAAGATACAATGACCACTTCAGAGCTGATCAGAGAAGTCATTCTACACCAAAACAGAGACCCAGATATTCCCACTCAACGTTAAACCAGAGGAATATTAGATGAAGTTTGGGAGCTCATTTACATGGAGATGAAGATCCATCAAACGGCTAGCTTATCCTTTCTGACATCTTTGCAGAAGATAAGATAAGATCTCTGGCAAAAAGATACAAGATTTCAAAAATGAGAGCGTCTCTTTCCAACGGACAGATTCTCATTACCAGCTATAAAATGATGAAGATATGAAGACTTGAAGATAGAGTAGTTGAGAAAATCACTAACAAAAGAACAGAAAATACGAACCCATCAAGGGGAACGAATAGAGCAATTAAGCTTAAAAGAGCATAGAGCAAAAATCTCATTTGGTACAGAGCATACCAAAAATCTTCAAGTGAGAAGTGAGAAAAGAAAAAGAACTCAGAGAGCTTCAAGAGAAAAATATTCTGAGAGTTCTTAGAACAGAGCAAAGCAGAGCATAAAAATCAAGTGCTTTACTTGATACATTCAAAGAGAGAAAACACTCAGAGCTATCAAGAGAAATCATTCCAGAGTGTTTATTCTTCATCAAAGAGACCTGCACATCATTGAAGATCATCTACAGAGTCTCAGAAGTTGGAAGCAAGACAACACTTGTTTTGGAGCAAAACAAGAGAAGGGAGGAAAGTAGCACGGAGCTGTGAAATCCTGGATTGTCACACGGAGCTGTGAGATCCGAAGCAGCAGTGTCGGAGGCACTGGGCGTGATTAGTGCGGGCTTTGTGATCAAAGCACTAGATCACGGGATACGTTTCTACCGGAGTGTGGAAGACGGGGGGAAAGTAACGCGGAGTCGTGAAATCCTGGGATAGTAGCGCGGCGACGTGAAACCCGAAGCAGCAGTGTGGTGTCACTGGGCGTGATTACTGCGGGCTTTGTGATCAAAGCACTAGATCACGGAAATTCATTGTATCTTGGAACCAAGGAGTGGTAGATATAGTGAATTGCTCTTGGAGATAAGAGCAAGTGGAGTAGGAGGATTACACCACATCGCGAACCACTATAATGGTCTTGTGTTCTTTACTGCTTTCTTTACTTACTGCTCTTTACATATTCGCTCTACACGTGATATACTGCTCACACAATCTCACACACACTTTATGTTTATTTATTTCCGCTGTGCACCATACTCTAACAATCTAGTTAAGAGTTTTGGTTTATCTCTGGCTTAGCAATTGTTGTGCTATGCGAAAAAGTTTGAAAGTCTATTCACCCCCCCCCCCCCCCTCTCTCTCTCTAGACTTTCACCTTACCTCTTTTGGGACCAACAATTGGTATCAAAGCCTGTAGCCTATTTGAGTCAGTTTATACCAACCTTTGGTATTAAAACACGTTACCTAACTGGGTTAACTGTTTTTTACTGCTAGGCTAATCCATTCTACAAAGTGTGTGAATTAGATTAATCTTTCATATCTCTCGTGATGATGATGAAGAAAGATTTAGCTCAAAATCTATTATTCTCACTTGATAAATTTGATGATTGGAAAGTTCGTATGCAGGTACACTTATCGCGTTTACACGATGAAATGTGGGAAGTTATTTCCACTGGCCCTATAGAAATATTAAAAGTAAATACGGCGTTTGTTATATCCCCGGATGCTCCACAGTACGTACAAAAGCCAAAACCAGAATGGACATCGGACGATAGAACGCGAAATAATCTTGACAATATTGCCAAGGATATTCTATTCAAAGCCGTAGATGATACAATATTTCCGAAGATCCGAAAGTGTGCCACTGCCAAAGAAATATGGGAAACTCTCATCAAGATTGGCGAAGGAGATGAACAAGAAAAAGGCAATAAGCTCACAATCACCATGAAGAAGTTTGAAGATTTCAAAATGCTCTCAAATGAAAGTGTTGCAGACATGGAAGCTCGAATGATCAAAGTTCTTGGAGAGATTAGTGATCTTGGCAAAAATATTAGCCAAAAAGAAATTAATCTCAAAATCCTACGAGGCTTACCATCTGCATGGGATATGAAGGTTACGGCTATGCGCGATCACCGAGATCTAAGAATGTTGTCAACAGACAAATTATTTAGTGATCTAAAAGCATATGAGTTCAAAATGAAGGCCAAAGATGATGATATTCATGAAGCTCGAAATGCTGCTCTAATGGCCGAACAACCGTCAACCTCCAGGTCAGTAGAAAATAATGTTGATTTTATGACTGACGAACAGTTTGCTCTTTTTGTCAAAAAATTCAGAAGGTTTATGCGAAAAGGAGACAACAAAAATTCTACTCGTGGAAAATTCATCTCTCGCATACCACAAGAAGAAAAAGTTGAAGAAAATAAGAATTTGTGCTACAATTGCCGCAAACCGGACATTTTAAAATAAATTGTCTGTATCCGATCGTTAGCAAGTATCAAGGCAAAAATGTTGAATCTACGCCGAACAAATCCGAAAGCAAAATGTTCAAGCGCGACAAAAGAAAAGCTCTCGTTAGCAACGAACCGAATGAAAATGATGAATCGGAGAATTCATCATCAAGCGATGAAAGCTCGTGTTCGAATGATGATACAGCGCTAATATGCAAGTCAATTGAGTTGAGTACAAGTGAAGATTGTCTTATGGCTCTTGAAGCAGAGGAAGAAGAGGTAACATCTAATTCTTTCAATTCTGTTAATTCTTCTTTTTCTCGTGAATCTATTGACAATCTAATGCGAGAATGTCAAGAGATTATGCTCACTCATCCTCAA